GTGCCACTGCACTCCAGCCTGGGCGACAGAGTGAGACAACGACTCAAAAAAAGAAATCACTTTGTAATCACTCTTTTTCTCTTTAGTATGCTTTTTACCTAAATTTTTGTTTTAATATGTTAATATAGCTATTTCAGTTTTCTTTGAGTATTCTTTTTTTTTTTTTTTTTGAGATGGAGTCTCACTTTGTCGCCCAAGCTGGAGGGCAGTGGCCCACTCACAGCCACCCCAGCCTTGAGCTGCTGGACTCAGGTGATCCTTCCACCTCAGCCTTCCAAGCAGCTGGAACTACAGGTGCAAACTACCACGCCCGGCTAATTTTTTATTTTTCTTGTAGAGACAAAGTCTCACCAAGTTGCCTGGGCTGGTCTCGAACCCACAGACTCAGGCAATCCTCTCGCCTCAGCCTTCCAAAGTGCTGGGATTACAGGCTGAGCCACTGAGCCCGGCCCAAACTTTGTATATTCTTACATTGCGTTATATCCTTTATAAATAACATGCAATGTTAACACACTATTTTATAAATAATATATTTATGTGTACTGTTTTATAAATTATATCTAAATGTACATAAAATGCATACAGGATGTATTAGCGAGCACAGTATGAATTCTGCTGTGATCATTGTGGTAGGCAGAATCATGGTCTCCCAAAGACGTCCACATCGCATTTCCCAGAACCCGAGACTAAGTCATCTCACATGGCAGAAGAGACTTTGCAGGTGTGAGTCAGGACCTTGAGATGGGGAGATTATCCTCGGAGACTGAAGAGCCCAATATGGTCATGAGGGTCCTTCAAAGTAAAAGAGAGCGGCAGACAGGAGTTAGAGAGATTTGAAGACACCAAGTTGTTGTCTTTGAAGACAGAGGAAGTCACCAGGCAGGGCATGCAGGCCACTTCTAGGAGCTGGAAAAGGCAAGACAAGGATTCTAGAACCTCAAAAAGAAGAAAACCCTGCTGACACCTAGATTTTAGCATAGTGATACCTATTTTGGGCTTCTGACCTCCAGAACTGCAAGGCAATACATATATATTATTTTAATTCACTAAGTTTATGGTAATATGTAACAGGAACAAATAGAAATCCCATATAATAATAATAACCCTAAGATCTCAGGGGCTTTCAGATATGAAAGCTTATTTCTTGCTCGTATTACACTCCCTTTGACCCTATATCATGTCCTCTTTATTCCAGAACCCTCAGAGCAGAAGGAAGAGCCCATTAGAGACTCAGAAGGAGCCAGGTGCAGTGGCTCACGCCTATTATCCCAGCACTTCGGGAGGCAGAGGCGAGAGGATTACTCGAGCTCAGGGGTTCGAGACCAGCCTGGGCAACTTGGTGAGACTTCGTCTCTACAATCAATCAAAAACGGGCATGGTGGCACATGCCTGTAGTTCCAGCTACTTGGAAGACTGAGATGGAAGGATTATCTGAGCCCAGCAGGTCAAGTTGTGGTGGCTGTGAGTGTACAACTGTACTCCAGCCTGGGCAACAGAGTGAGACCCCAACTCAAAAAAAAAAAAAAAAAGACTCAGACGAGGGAGGAGAGAAGGGATGGTGAGATGAAAAATCACATGTGGGGTGCGGTGTACACAGGTGGGGGTGCTGGGTACATTTAAACCCGAACTTCTTTGCCACTATACAATGCATCCATGTACCCAAAAATTGTTTGTGCCACTTAAAGGATTTAAATAAAGGGAATAAATGGGCGAGCCACCTGGGGGCTTTTAAAGCATCTGCTCAGATATGGCAGGTACCTTTTCCATTCCAGTGCCTGAGGCAAGTCACATGGTTAAGACATGAGGTTAAACTGGGCTCGGTGGCTCAGCCTGTAATCCCGCACCTTTGGGAGGCTGAGGTGAGTGGATTGCCTGAGCCTGCAGGTTTGAGGCCCACCTGGGCAACTTGGCGAGATCTCATCTCTACAATAAATAAAAAAATGAGCCGGGTGTGGTAGCACCGCCTGTAGTTCCAGCTACTCGGAAGGCTGAGGCGGAAGGATTGCCAGAGCCCAGCAAGTCGAGGGTGCGGTGGCCGGGAGTGGCCACTGCACTCCAGTCTGGGAGACAGAGTGAGACTCCAACTCAAAAAAAAAAAAAAAGACATGAGGTAAGGAGTAGACCCCTCCCAGAGGAAAGGCCACCTTATCTTCTAGGTAGGGGCCAGCTTGTGTAAAGGCCCTGGGGCAGGAGAGATGGGGTTGACAGACTGACAGAAGTGATTCTAGCTGTGGGGTAATAATGAAGGGTTGTGGCTGGAGATATGAGCAGGGTAGGTGTGAAAGGCCTTGCAAGTCATTCATTCATTCAGCAAATAGGAGGGACATGCTTACACCCAGGTGGCCCTCCCGATTCTTGGGGTCTGCATCTATGGATTCAACCAACCACGGATCAAAAATATTCCAAAAATCAAACAACCCCCCCCCACCAAAACCAAATTTTAAAAAGTACAGTGTAATGCCAGGCATGGAGGCTCATGCCTATAATTCTAGCACTTTGGGAGGTGGAGGCAAGAGGATTGCCTGAGCCCAGGGGTTTGAGACCAGCCTGGGCAACTTGGCGAAACCTTGTCTCTACAATAA